CTTTGGGGGCGCCTGGGTGGCTCGGTGGGTTAAGCATCCAACTAGGTTTCAGCTCAGATCGTGATCTTGCAGTTTGTGAGTTCGAGCCCCGCATCAGGCTCTGTGCTGACAGCGTGGCGCCTGCTTGGGATTCTCTAGCTCCCCTCCCTCTCTGACCCTCCCCTGCTCACCGCTCAGTCTCGCTCATGTTTAAATAAATGAGAAAAACGAAAACACACAGCACTTTTGCCCCAACATCCCATATCTGCTAGCTGCTTCAGTTCACCTGCACCAGACCAGACACGTCGCTGTTCCCCTTTGCTGTTTCCCAGATCATTCACTTCAAGCATTTATTTATTTGTTTGTATAGATTTTATTTTTTTTTTTTTAAGTAATCTCTACACCCAGTGTGGGGCTTCGGCCCCAAGATAAACCCCCAGATCAAGGTTTCACACACTCCGTCCACCAAGTGAGCATCCAGGCGCCCCCTCTCTTCAAGCCTTTATTTCATGAGTTTCCTAACACTGTAGATAAGGGCGGGGGCGGGGGGCCGGGTGCTGGCGGGTAAGTCACCCCAAGGACATTTCTCAAGGTATCTTGCCATCCTGCTGGGTCCCTAACCTACTCCCGCCTCTTTTTCTTTTCCCTTTCTCCTGAGAAGCGACTTCTTCTCCTTATCTCCTGTAGAATAGTTCCGCCCACGTTCCTGAGCCCCTGGGGTCTCCCTTCCTGCACCAAATTCTTGGCAAACAAACGCGGTTCCCAACCTTGGAGAGATTCTGTTAAATACAAATTTCTCGTTGACTCGTCCAAGTGTTTGCCAAGTGTTGCAGCCCCTGGGGGAGCCACCAACTCTGCCTTAGGTCAAGAAGGTTTCACAGGAGGGGATACCTGAGCAACGCTCTTTTTATTGGCAATTTCTCCGTAGATTTTATGGCCCTCAGGCCACATGAGGGAGCACATGACTCAGCCTCAGCCAATCAGAACTCAATTCCTTGAGCCCACCCTCAGTGATTGGTCTAAGGAGCAGGCACCTGCCGCACCTGACCCAATGCCATAGTCCCCTCTGCCGTTTGAAATGCGAGCGGGGTCCAGAGAGGCAGCGCGGAAGGTGAGTCATCTTCTGGGAGGACCCTGGAAAAAAGGTTCTCCGACTGGGGCATGTGAGTGAGGGCTTCAGACAGACTCATGTCTCTCCCTCCTGAGGCCTGGATAAACTGCTATCCTTTTGATTCTGGGAGCTGCCTCAGTTGCCTTCCCACAGATCCCTCTTTGGGGGGGGGGGAGGGCATGAGTTAGCTAGAGTGGGTTTCTATTGTTGCCAAGAGAAGAACTCTAACTGAAGAATGAATTGACGTTCTTCTGCTCTAGTAGAAATCTAGACAATCAGATTCAGTTATGAGAATCAGAGCCACCAGCCACTCTAGGAAGAGCTAACACATGGTTAGTCTTTAATCTGTTTTTAAATCCTCTTTTAAAATGTCGTGGTAATTATATCACGCCAGACAAATGAAAACGAATCTGAGCCGATAAGAATTTTAGTTAGGATAGATGTGTTCCAAACACCCGTGAAAGCTCTGATAACCTACCTGGATTTGATTTCGTACAAACCGTGGTACCGTCAGCCACAAGTCCCCAGAAGAGCCATTCCTAGAAACTATTAACCCAGATACATTCTGCATTGATTTTAAGTAGTTTCCATTGCAGAGGAAGGCCTTTATCTGACCCGATCTCCTAATCTGGAGTAACTCACTATAGGGACAAAGAAAGAAAAAGTGTCTGGAATGTTGGGAATCAGCTTGCTCTATTTCTGTCTCCACCAGAGTTGGTGGAATGTACAAAATCTCTTCCCCACTTGCTGGACTGAACACTCACACCGCGGTGCTGGCACCTTTCCCACTGGTCCACCTACGTGTGGTTGGCCAAGAGAGTGGTTGATTACTCCGACCCTGAGCATTTTAGATTTAAGGGATTTTGCATAAAACATTCACAATAATTGGGGCGCCTGGGTGGCTCGGTCGGTTGAGCGTACGACTTCCGCCCAGGTCATGATCTCATGGTTCGTGAGTTCGAGCCCCGCATCAGGCTCTGTGCTGACAGCTTGGAGCCTGGAGCCTGCTTCGGATTCTGTGTCTCCCTCTCTCTCTCTCTCTGCATCTCCCCAGCTCATGCTCGCATTCTGTCTCTGTCAAAAATAAATAAAAAATTTTTTACAAATCTCAAAAATATGCATAATAATTGCTTCCCACCAATCTTGCTTAAAATAGAGACTATATAGATGTAGTTTTCATCCAAGAACACATCTCCCACGCAAATTCCCAGACCAGCTCCCCAGAAAGCAGGTGAATTTGGATCAAGCAACAGTCAGGTGGCCTGAGAAAATGTTCTTGGACCTCATGTAACTAACTATGTTTGGATGTCACTGGGAAGATGGTAGCTTTTGCTTCTTAGGAAATACGTTAGGAACCGGTCCCTGACCACACGTCTAACATGATAAGCCCTCCTTGGGGTTTCCATGGAGGTTTATCGACAAAGTCAAGGGTTGGGAACTAAATGGAACAGAATCTCATTGAATGCTCCTTGAGAGGTCAACCAGTGCGAAATCCTACAAGTGACCATTGCCCTGTCCTAAGAAGCATGCTAAATCTATGTTTTCCCTAAAATACAAAAATCCTAGAAATATAAAAACCTTGGTGAAAGGAGTGATCCCAACTTACCATATTACTTTGCTCCTCTTTTCAACTTCTCCTTCAAGGCCCACTTCCTTCAGGATATTATTTATCCAGTGGTATCATATAGGATATTTTTGGTTGAGGGGGTCACAAAGCTTAATAAAGGAAATTTCTTGGCTCACAAACTAAAACAGCCCTGTGGTGATGCAGGCTTTGAGTACAGTCTGGTTGGGACTCTAGTCTCTGTGATTTTCTTAGTTCTCTATGTTCGTTTTTGCCCTCAAATTGGCTTTTCTGATATTGGCAAAATGGCTTCAGCGATTGCAGGCTCAGATCTGCATTTAATGCCATCCTGAGCAAGACAGAACTTTTGGGTCCCAGAATCCCCCTTTAAAATCTATCCAGTCATTCTGACTGGGTAAGCTTACTTAGGTCATGAGTTCACCTAATCAGTGAAGCCAGGACATGGAAAGCACTGATTGGATCAACCTAGGTCTCTTATTTCAGGCCTTGAACTGGGAGTCGTTTCAGCTTCCTTAGTGCCCCAGGAATCTCCAAATGCACATTAGGAGCAGTTGGGTTAAGGAAGGGGGAAATGCATGCTGGGGAAGCAACCAACAGGAGAAGACTGTATCTTCAAATCCACCGAAGTTCTGACCTTGACTCCCATTTTAATGCATTCCATGCTCGTAGTCACTATGGATTATATATTTTTTCGTCTATATTTCTTAATCCTGTTTTATCCTGCCCTATAAGCATCTCAAACATATGGATGATGCCCGGCCCTAACTATATAAACGAGCCAACACTTTTGTTGGATAACCTGTGAGGTGATGATGTGGAAAATATTCTAAAAAAGAAAAACATTTGGAAGTCTATATCCCCCTCTAAAAACAAAAGTTTGGAGTTTAATTCTGACCTTTATGAAATTGTGGGGCTGACTGCAGACCACTGTCTGCAGACAGGGAGAAAGGAATTCATTTGTAGCCCAGGGAATGTCTCCAAGAGCTGAATTGTATAAACTTCACAGACATTGGTACAAAATATAATTTATCACTCTGCCTGCTGAAAGCCACTTGCAGAAGTTTCGCTAATCACGGTCTCTCTAAATTAATCCGTCATCTAGGCAAGGTCTTATTTCTTTTTAGGCAGAGACAAGTCTATAAGTAACAGGTATTTATAAAAACCTGTGTAAATCATGTGATGTCTAAAACAACAAAACCCAAAAGTAACTGTTTTGTCTACATGGAAAATTTGAATCTGATGGACTTGACCCAGCGTTCAGGTCATCGACTCTTACGCAGATGGATCCTCTTAATAGAAGGTAATGTAGCCATTGTTTACGGACTAATTGCCAGCGGACTGGTTGTTTCCTTCTCTGCAAGAGTATAACCACCACCATCCCCCATAACATCAACCACCACCAACACCATCGTCACCACCATCAACATCAACCACTACCAACAACACCAACTGGCATCAACCATCACGACCGTCACCACCGACACCAATGCCACCATCAGCATCAACCACCATCGCCACTATGAACACAAGGCTTATATTTTACATATGTACTTTACTTGGAAAAGTATGCTTATATACGTGATGCCATTAGCTCTTACCCGCTTTGTAAGATTGGCAAAACAGACATCATCATTCTCATTTTATCTGTGTGGGAGCTAAGTTCCAGAGAGGCGAGGTGGTGTGTTGAAGGACGCCAAAGTGGTCAAGAATCAAACCCAGACTAGAGTTTGATGCCTCCACGTCCAAAACTAATGCTTTTTTTCAGTGGATCACACACCCTCAGTGAAAATGAAGGACTTCTGACTAACGTCTGCTATTAACAACCTTGGTTCTATATTCTAGTGAGAACCTCTAGAACGAATGGCTCTTTGAAACCATCTATCCCACTGCCATGTGTTCCAGGTAAGAGCCACAAGTCACTCAAAGTTCATGTGATCCTCTGGAAGTTTAATCCAGGGTGCTTGACTCCAAATTCAGCCTTCTTTCCATGACAAGAGTCCACCTTCACGTACACCCTTGGGAATCTCCTAGATTCTCTGAGGACACTAGATGCTCCATGTCCTTCTCTGGGACACAGGCTCTTCCAGTGATGGGTATGACTGGAGCCACTGCCTCTGCTGTCTCGTCTCAAAGTGCCACAAAGCCTGAGAAGGAAACAGGACGCTGGCTTTTGGCCATGCTCCCATCGGCGTAAGTGCCCCAGTAATGTTCTTCTAGCTCCACTCAAGGACTTGACCCCTCTATCAAGGTTCCAGGTAGACTCAAGGCTTCTCCCCCTTGCATGAAACTTGAGCCTATTCTGTGGAGGTCTGTTTGCCTTGACCTTCAAGGGATCCCTTGGATTTCAGTTTGGCACCCACTGTTTTTACATTTTGGTTCCAGGCTGGCCTGGTTGGACTGCAGGACAGCTCTGTTGCTAAAGGTCAGTGCAGAGCATTTGGCCACCTTGCTTTGGAGATTTTTCTTTTTGAGTTCAGAGGTCAAATTTGAGTAGTAGATATCTTCCAAGGATTTATCATTCTTTCTGAGGATGTTGCTGGCCAATCGGAAGAGGAAAATCACTCCGTAGATGCCAATGATGGTGAGAATGTACCAGGCAGCGCTGGTCCCATCTGGAAGTTTCAGGGCCCTGGTGGAGTTGGTGCCATTCTTCCCCTCCATGTGGTCCCTCAGCAGGTAGCCTAGGCCAATGCTGGCCTGGGTCGGGTGGGGGGCTCCCTGAGGAGTCCACTTGATTACTGAGAAACAGAGAGATCCAGATGAGACCCAGAATCCTGGCCTGAGGGCTGCCTGGCCAAGCCTATGAGAGTGTGATCCTCACATCAATGGGAAACATGGGGCTGCCTAAAGGGGCTCTCTCCGTTGAATGGGCAGGAGCCTGACAACATATATATCAATATATTTTTAAAAATCAAAAGGGTTCGAAAACACCAAGTTCTTAAATGGGAGATGCAACATTGTACAGATATCGATTGCCCCTAAAGTAATCTATGCAGCTAACATAATTGCAGTAAAAATATCGGTAGAATTTCTTTGCGAAATAGACAAACTATGAATATTGAAAACATCAGCTCTCAAGACTGATTGGGAAACATCTGAGAGCGCCCAATCCTAACCGCTAGACCACCAGGGAGGGAAACATCTGAAAACAATGAGTGGTGAGTGGAAATTAGCCTAGCCAGAAATTTAAAAGGAGCCAGCCAGAAAAATAATTTACATTTTTTTTTGCATTGAATGAGTGCTTTATTTGCCCACAGCCCAGCTGCCATGGCTTAACTGGGCTTTGCAAAGGGCATGAGGGCTCTTCAGAACCAGGCGCAAGTCTCCCTAAAAAGTCCCCCCATAAAAACTACAATAGCTGCTGATACACAGACAAGCAGAATAATGGAACAGCGTGAAGATACAATCAACAGGCTAGGAATGCAAATTGAGTAGATAGTAAAATAAATTTCTTTTAACGTTTATTTATTTTTGAGAGAGACAGAGAGTGTGAGCAGGAGGAGGGGCAGAGAGAGAGGGAGACACAGAATCCGAAGCAGGCTCCAGGTTCCAGGCTCTGAGCTGTCAGTACAGAGCCCAATGCGGGGTTCAAACTCACAAACACGCTAGATCGTGACCTGAGCTGAAGTCGGACGCCCAACCGGTGAGGCCACCCAGGCACCCTGAATTTGGCAGATAGTAAAGAGGCATTTCTGATGAGGCGGGAACAGTCCGATTATTCAATGAGGAGCATTAGAGCAATATATAGCACCGAATGTACCTCTCTCACCGTAGGTTCAAAAAACAGTCCAGATCAATCAAAGATTTTAACATAAAAAAAGAAACAATTTAAAGTACTAGAAAAATCAAGGCAGATTTTGTTCCTTTGGTATTGCGGTGTGGGATATCCCTTTCTAAGTACAACGTGAAAATTCAGAAGGAAAAAAAAAGCAGGAAGAAAATGTTAAATTCAACTACATAGGAAACTTTAAAGTTATGGCATACTATAAAATCCAAAGACAAGTGGAAAACTAGAGGAAAACTGCAATTTTATCATGAAATTTCTTAAATTAAAAAAAAGGGGGGGGGCACCTGAGTGGCTCAGTCTGTTAAGTGACCATCTTCAGCTCAGGTCATGATCTCCCAGTTTGTGAGTTCAAGCCCCGCATCAGGCTCTCTGCTGTCAGCACAGAGCCTGGTTCAGATCCTCTGTCTCCCTTTCTCTCTGCCCCTCCCCCCACTCACTCGCTCTTTCTCAAAAAATAAAATAAACATTTAAAAAGTACTTTTTTTTATGGGGCCCCTGGGTGGCTCAGTCAGTTAAGCATCCGACTTGGGCTCAGGTCATGATCCCACAGCTTGTGAGTTCGAGCCCCGCGTCAGGCTCTGTGCTGACAGCTCAGAGCCTGGAGCCTGCTTCAGATTCTATGTCTCCCTTTCTCTCTGCCCTTCCCCCACTTGCACTCCCTCTCTCTCTGTCTCTCAAAAATAAATAAATATTTTTCAAAATTAAAAAAAAATACCTTTTTAGAGAGAGAGCAGGGGAGTAGCAGAGGGAGAGAAAGAGAGAAAATCTTAAGCAGGTTCCATGCTCCGTGCAGAGCCTGATGCAGGGCTCAATCCCACGACCCTAGGATTATGACTTGAGCCGAAATCAAGAGTCAGACGCTCCCAAATGAGCCCCCCCAACCAAAGGTGCCCCATCACTAAATTTCTTAATAGCCTTCAGTCTTACTAGAAAAGTCCAAAGCCTCAGTCGAAAAACATGCATGGGGCGTGGGCAATGAGGTGATGGAAAATCAAGGGGATCTGGAACATAAAAAAAGTCTTCTCAGTCTTCCTCATAATAAGGTAAATGCAAATGAAAACCACATCAAGGTAACATTTTCTGATCTATAAAGTTTGAAAACGAATGTTTCAGAATATACTTTCAGGCATTTGCTCAATGCTGGAAAGAGTGGAAATTCATACAACCAATATGGGAGGCACAGTCAGGATATCTATCGACATTACAAATGCACTGACCTTTGACCAAGCGGCTGTCCCTGTAGGAATTTATCCTAAGATATGCTGGAAAACGTCCACAATAATGATGTTTAAACATTGCTTGTGATGATCAATGCTTAGGAACAGCCTGAATAACGTCAATTGGGGGATAGTTTAACACCTTTTGGAAAGTCCATGATGTGGAATACGACGGAGCTATAAAAAGTAATAGAGTTTTTTTTTTGGGGGGGGGTACTAAATATTAATATATGAAAAAGTAAGCTGGGGCATCTCGGTGGCTCAGTCGGTTGAGCGTCTGACTCTGGCTCAGGTCATGATCTCACAGAAGGGCGAGTTCAAGCCCCGCGTCGGGCTCTGTGCTGACGGCTCAGAGCCTGGAGCCTGCTTCGGATTCTGAGTCTCCTCTCTCTCTGCCCCTCCCCTGCTCATGCTCTGTCTCTCTCTGTCTCAAAAAATAAATATAAACATTAAAAAAAAATTAGAAAAAGTAAGCTGACCATGTTGCAGTGTATAATCATATGCATAAAAGAGGGGAGGATATTTTATTTGCTTGAAGCTCATATATGCATAAAATATCCCTGGGAGAATACACAAGAAATTGGTACCTGTGGAGGCACTTGGGGAAGAGTATGGGGGATGAGATGTACTTCTCATGAGTGCCCTCTCGTACATTTTGTACCATGTGTATTTATCTTCAAAAAGAAGTTAATTTAAAAAGGAAAGGGTACAAGTGGGCACTTCTCCGGTTTCCGTGGTGAGGTGCCCCTGGGTAATGACACCGTGTGCCCTTCCAAGACCAGAAGATTAAAATCTTAATTGCTGTTTAATTCAAAACTGTTTTCTCTCCTAGGAGAGCCAGTGCAAATGGAATGAAAGCCACAGAAGTAGGACATAAAAAAGTGAGACGTTTTCTAATTGAACTTGACCAGCTCAAATCCCCACTTTTTGCCCTGTGTGAACACAGACGTATTCAGATGGGTCATAGGATAAATCCCACAGACACATTATGAGCTCAGAACTCTACTGTGAGTTGTTAGAGAAGGATGTGATGTGTTCAAATACATAGAGAGTACACCCAACCAAGAACTACGGGACATTAAATTATTTTAAAAGTAGTCCATTTCCACATGAAGGAAACTCACAGCCTTAATTATTGCAGTCCACTGTTCTTCACTTTTCTTTAAAAAAAAATAATAAAGGGCGCCTGGGTGGCTCAGTTGGTTGAACCTCCGACTTCGGCTTGGGTCATGATCTCACGGTTCATGAGTTCAAGTCCCGCGTCGGGCTCCGTGCTGACAGCTCGGAGCCTGGAGCCTGCTTCCGATTCTGTGTCTCCCTCC